GAGAGAGAGAGAGAGAGAGAGAGAGGGGCCAAGTGAGACAGAAATCAGAAGAGCCCCAATCAAGATGTGTCCGACCTGTTGTCGGGCAGATTGACCTGACGTCTGTGTGTTTGTGTATTCTCCTGCAGGCGTGTTGGTGATCACCTGCAGTCATGTGTGACCAGACGTTCGTGGCGGTCACTTTTGGCCCCTGCGACAGCTGCACGAAAAACAGTCCTCTGATGAACATCTACATCAAGACTGAGGCCATCAACTACTGCTCCTTCTGTGTGGAAGCGGTGAGTCATGGTTTCAGGTTCTCGCCAGTTAATCAGCATAGATATAATGAAGAGTTGATCTGGGTCCCAGCAGTGAGCTACAGTTTCACACAGCTGATGATACAGTGTCTCAGTTTGACCAGGATCACACTTACACTTTGAACACACACACACACACACACACACACACACACACACACACACACACAAACACACAGACAGGAAGTCATGAGCACATAGAACAGATAGAGAGGTGCATGACAGTGAGACTGGTCCTAATCTGTGGCTCCTTGTCATCCACTCAGCAGACACCTCAGTGCAGAGTGTTCAGTGTGAGCGACCCAGCAAACAGCAGCACCACTTTGACATCTTAACATGAAGAGTGACTGAAGAAAAACCTCTCAGTCTTTAGTTTGTGTGTATGAATTCATGGTTCAGACTGTTCAGATGTCACAACGTGGATATCTCTAATCAGTACACTCCAGATTGCTTATGTAATACTGTATTGTGCTAGTATTCAATTCAGACACAAAACAAGTCAAACAAATAAATGATGAAGAAAACCACTGAAACCTTTGAACGGAATGAGAAGTTGTCATTAACTGGAGCCTATAGAGTTTTACAACACGTCCAGTCACTGACGCCTTTTAGATTCACTGATTATATAAGATGACGTTATATTCACCCTGGTGTGATGTAGTCCGGAAATGACCCCAAAATACTGATTGATGCTCAACTCCTTTGACTCTGTATCTGCATTGATAATACAAATAAAGAATATAAATACTAATACTTACTAATACTACTAATGGTCAGAGTTCTCTGTCATCAGCGCGTCACTGAGTGAGGGAGAGGGGGCGGGGCCAGCCCGGTGTAACAGATCTCGTGGGCTAGTCCAGTGTTCAGTTCATTGATGAATTAGATTTTATTTCACAACCTGAACTAGCTCCATCACTGAACACTCAGTCCAGAGACAGAGTCTAACTCACGGTACATAAACTCTGATGGGAACTAACTCTGCACACCAGGAGGGTGTGGTCTGGACTAGAGAGGTGTATTCTGGGCCAGGAGGGGGCGGGGGGGGGGGCTGACAGCACAGCGGCTCCACACGCTCCTCATCATCTGCGCGGAGGATAACAACAAACCAGCTCCTGCTCCTCTAACCGTGTTTCCTCCTCACTGCTCGGT